ACACACACACACACACACACACACACACACACACACACACACACGCCTCATCCACTCTCACTCTCCCCCCCCCACCCCCCCCCCCACACACACACATACTAGTGGCATACCTAGTATGTCACTAGGCTAGTCCCGGAACTAAAAAGCATGAGTTATGAGGAAAGGCTGCGTGAATTGCACCTCACGTCGCTGGAAGACAGAAGAGCTCGGGGAGATATGATCACCACATACAAAATTCTCAGGGGAATTGACAAGGTAGACAAGGGTGGATTATTTAACACGGGTGGCACACGCACAAGGGGACACAGGTGGAAGCTGAGTACCCAAATGAGCCACAGAGACATTAGAAAGAAATTTTTTAGTGTCAGAGTAGTTAGTAAATAGAATGCTCTAGGAAGTGATGTGGTGGAGGCTGACTCCATACACAGTTTCAAATGTAGATATGATAGAGCCCAGTAGGCTCAGGAATCTGTACATCAGTTGATTGACGGTTGAGAAGCGGGACAAAAGAGCCAGAGCTCAACACCCGCAAACACAACTAGGTGAGTACACACATACACACACACCACACACACACACCACACACACTACACACACACACACACACACACACACACACACACACACACACACACACACACACACACACACACACACACACACACACACCCCACACTACACATCCACACACCACACACACTACACACACACACTTCACACACACACTACACACACTATCACCCATCAACTGATTCAGACACATGATTTTAATTTTAATAATTCCAGTAAAGTACATAAGTGTCATGTCTGGGACCGCCTGTATTCCTGTAACGTCACTACAGTGTTAGTAATAGACTGTATTGTTCAATGTTGCCTTGTCACTACCTTCATCTCTCCCTTTTTCACCACTTTCCACGGCCCAACCACTTGGGCTGGACGGTAGACCGACGGTCTCGATTCATGCAGGTCGGTGTTCAATCCCCGATCATCCCAAAGTGGATGGGGCACCATTCCTTTAACACCCCATCCCATTCTTAATCCTTATGCTGACCCCTTCCCAGTGATATATTGTCGTAATGGCTTGGCGCTTGCCCCCTGATAATTCCCCCTCTTTCCCTCCTCCTGTTTCTTGCACTTTATACTTTCTGCTCTTTTCTTTATCATACATTTTCGTTCATTCTCGTATTCACTTTTCTATCTTCGTGTGATTTCCATAATTAATTTTTTTTATGTAAGTTGAATGTTTTCCTTTTTTCCGTTTTTTTTCCTTCTCCTTTTCTTACGCCTCTTCGTCTGTCCCTTATCCTCTTCCATTGCCTGTTCTCTCCACCTCCTCCTCTTCCTCCTCCTTCTCTTGCCCTTGCTTCCCACTTTGTTTTTCTCCTTCAGGTGAGAGGAGCATCATGGGAATCATCTGAGCAGTGTTTGTCTACGGACTTAAGCGGATGTCCGTCCCTTGGGAGGCGGCGATGCTGGAGCATGTCCGCTTGCGAGCGGCACTATGCCTGTGTGGGAGTGCCATGCTGAGGTGTAGGGAGGGTGTATAGTGCCATGCTGAGGTGTAGGGAGGGTGTATAGTGCCATGCTGAGGTGTTGGGAGGGGTTATAGTGCCATGCTGAGGTGTTGGGAGGGTTTATAGTGCCATGCTGAGGTGTTGGGAGGGTTTATAGTGCCATGCTGAGGTGTAGGGAGGGTGTATAGTGCCATGCTGAGGTGTAGGGAGGGTGTATAGTGCCATGCTGAGGTGTAGGGAGGGTGTATAGTGCCATGCTGAGGTGTTGGGAGGGTGTATAGTGCCATGCTGAGGTGTAGGGAGGGTGTATAGTGCCATGCTGAGGTGTTGGGAGGGTTATAGTGCCATGCTGAGGTGTTGGGAGGGTGTATAGTGCCATGCTGAGGTGTTGGGAGGGTTTATAGTGCCATGCTGAGGTGTAGGGAGGGTTTATAGTGCCATGCTGAGGTGTTGGGAGGGTGTATAGTGCCATGCTGAGGTGTAGGGAGGGTGTATAGTGCCATGCTGAGGTGTAGGGAGGGTTTATAGTGCCATGCTGAGGTGTAGGGATGGTGTATAGTGCCATGCTGAGGTGTAGGGATGGTGTATAGTGCCATGCTGAGGTGTTGGGAGGGTGTATAGTGCCATGCTGAGGTGTTGGGAGGGTGTATAGTGCCATGCTGAGGTGTAGGGAGGGTGTATAGTGCCATGCTGAGGTGTAGGGAGGGTTTATAGTGCCATGCTGAGGTGTAGGGATGGTTTATAGTGCCATGCTGTGGTGTTGGGATGGTTTATAGTGCCATGCTGTGGTGTTGGGAGGGTGTACAGTGCCCATGCTGAGGTGTTGGGATGGAGGACTTAGATTTCTATGTGCATTATTATTATTATTATTATATTATATAATTGAGAAAGCAATTTGGAACAATGCAATGATTCGAACCAGTGTTCTAGTGACCCCAGACGCTCGGCTTAACCCACTTGGCCCCCGATAGGACAAAAGCTATTCAACCCCGGAATTCTACTGAATCCACTGGGAAGGCCTGGAGGCCCTCCAACTGGTGCCACAACCTGGTTTTTTACGATTACTCCGCCGACACTCTGGCCTGTAGGTGGTGGTGTTCCACGCCATACCATTGTCCTTCATGATTCTTCAGAACATGAAGAAATCACAATGATATATAAATTGATATTTCACGCATGGTGATATTTTTTTTATAAATTATCATTATTATTTTTATTATATGCATCTTTGCTGGTGATAAATTAACGTTAATTCCCAGGAATAAGATGGAATATAATCAATTTGATGTCTTAAAAATCATCCATTCATAAAATGGAAACATAAATCAGCATTAATCTACAAAAAATTTGAATTAAGCTCAAAATCAACCTCATAATCAACATTAATCTACACAAAATCGTACACGAAATCTCGACTTTATGTAAATTATCATGTAACACTATTTTAATACTTGTTTAAAAAAAATGCTACTGCACAAAATCTTCCACTTGGCTAGCATTAAAACCCAAATCTGGTAATTTTTAATGGAATTTAATTCACCAAATTCATTTCATAACTGAATCTCACGTCCCAGTGAACAATAATTAAGTAATTAATACATTTACATGCGATTGCATTTTAACGTGGTTAAACCTGTATGTAGACGACGCTCTCAAAGTTACCAACAATTTTTTAGGGGAAAAAAATGATAATTTTTATACACATTTGCAGGAATTTAGATTAAATTTCTATGACATTGTTTAATTAGAGCTTAATCAGGAGTGATTATATTATATATACATTTTTATATATGATATATATATATATATATATATATATATATATATATATATATATATATATATATATATATATATATATATAAATATATATATATATATATATATATAGATATAGATAGATGACACTGAACATCTTCTGCATTGCTCTATCTCTAATTATTTGATGAATCTGTGCTACAGTTTGTGGTATATATACACATGTCTGTATGTCTTCTCTAAGGTGCAAGTCTTACAGCTTCGTCTGCAATGTTGATGAGACCCCGGCGCCCCTGAGGTTTGAGTGCTTGCATTAATGCTATGACATTTGTGCTCAGATTGATGCTTTCACGTAAGTGTTCTTCTTGCAAAGTTTCAATGACAGTTCTCGTGTGTATGATATGTTGTCCATGTTCAGCAAGAGCATCTCCCAAAAGCCTTTGGAATGGCTAGCATCTCTGTAACGTTGAACTATCGACTGAGAATCTTCAACTATTAGAGAATTTTCGGTCTTAACTATAGTTCCGGATTCTTGTCTCTGCTGGTCTAAGTGAGAGTTTTGCTTCACTAGCTGAGCCACAGCTAGTGAAGCAAGTGGCACAGAGCCACAACCGGACACAGACGTGTGAGAAAGCGTACAGGAACGGGTAAATACAGACACACAGAATGAATAACTAGTAAATAACTTATCTGGCGCCATATAAATGTATGTACAGTGAAGTTCTGAGCCATGTGAACAAATTCCGTCCTTTCAAAACCCAAAGGTATCGGAGGTGGGGAAAAAAATGGGAATAAGTGATATGCATCAGATACGACAAAGAAATATTTCAAAATACATTTAATGCCTGAAATCGAACGCCTAACAGTTTCAGGCAACCGTACGTAATTCAATTCTCCTTTTCTTTTACTCTTATTCTCTCTCTCTCTCTCTCTCTCTCTCTCTCTCTCTCTCTCTCTCTCTCTCTCTCTCTCTCTCTCTCTCTCTCTCTCTCTCTCTCTCTCTCTCTCTCTCTCTCTTTTTAAAACAAATATAGAAAACAGTGCAAAAAATAGTGTGGTTTCTCTTGTGTGAGGTTCTCATGTTAGAGAATATTTATGGTCAGGAAATGTTACACTTTTGGATCACTTTTCCTTAACATGTGTGTAAAGTAAATATGTGAGTGTGTGTACTCACCTAGTTGGTACATACTCATCTAGTTGTGCTTGCGGGGGTTGAGCTCTGGCTCTTTGGTTCCGCCTCTCAACTGTCAATCAACTGGTGTACAGGTTCCTGAGCCTACTGGGCTCTATCATATCTATATTTGAAACTGTGCATGGAGTCAGCCTCCACCACATCACTGCCTAGTGCATTCCACCTGTTAACTACTCTGACACTGAAAAAGTTCTTTCTAACGTCTCTGTGTGATAAGTGCCTTATCACACAGGTACACCGTATACCTGGTAGATAAGTGCCTTATGTCCTCTTAACAAGTGTGTTTTAAATGAGTGCCTCGAATTGTACCAAGTATTAGACGCCGATTAGCAGGCGTGGCTGACAGCCGGTCGGGCTCACATCTGACTGCTGGCCATGAATAAGCCCAACGGGTCCTCCTAAAAGTCTCCCAACGTTAAGAAACTGACTTTCTAAAGTCCTTTTTTTCCTAACCTACCAGAGGACCCAAAACAGAAAACGGGTCACTATTTCAATTTTGCGAGCTGCTACAATTATTCTAGACCGACGATTTTTGGTCAATACGTCCAAATACGTCCAAATACGCCTAAATACGTCCAGTATACGTCCACTATACGTCTGTGACCGCCTGCAAGAAGGCAAACACAATTTAAGAAAAACAAAATAAGGGTTGAGGAGCTGTCAGATTTTGTCAAGCACTGAGAAGCTGTGTGGTCGTCCGGTGGTGTGGTCGTCCGGTGGTGTGGTCGTCGGGGTGGTGTGGTCGTCCGGGTGGTGTGGTCGTTCGGGTGGTGTGGTCGTCCGGGTGGTGTGGTCGTCGGGGTGGTGTGGTCGTCGGGGTGGTGTGGTCGTCGGGGTGATGTGGTCGTCGGGGTGGTGTGGTCGTCGGGGTGGTGTGGTCGTCGGGGTGGTGTGGTCGTCGGGGTGGTGTGGTCGTCGGGGTGATGTGGTCGTCGGGGTGGTGTGGTCGTCGGGGTGGTGTGGTCGTCGGGGTGGTGTGGTCGTCGGGGTGATGTGGTCATCGGGGTGATGTGGTCGTCGGGGTGGTGTGGTCGTCGGGGTGGTGTGGTCGTCGGGGTGGTGTGGTCGTCGGGGTGGTGTGGTCGTGCGGGTGGTGTGGTCGTGCGGGTGGTGTGGTCGTCCGGGTGGTGTGGTCGTCGGGGTGGTGTGGTCGTCCGGGTGGTGTGGTCGTCGGGGTGGTGTGGTCGTCCGGGTGGTGTGGTCGTGCGGGTGGTGTGGTCGTCCGGGTGGTGTGGTCGTTGGGGTGGTGTGGTCGTCGGGGTGGTGTGGTCGTCGGGGTGGTGTGGTCGTTGGGGTGGTGTGGTCGTCGGGGTGGTGTGGTCGTCGGGGTGGTGTGGTCGTCGGGGTGGTGTGGTCGTCGGGGTGGTGTGGTCGTCGGGGTGATGTGGTTGTCGGGGTGGTGTGGTCGTCGGGGTGGTGTGGTCATGCGGGTGGTGTGGTCGTCGGGTGGTGTGGTCGTTGGGGTGGTGTGATCGTCGGGGTGGTGTGGTCATGCGGGTGGTGTGGTCGTCGGGGTGGTGTGGTCGTCGGGTGGTGTGGTCGTCGGGGTGGTGTGTGTCATGCGGGTGGTGTGGTCGTCGGGGTGGTGTGGTCGTCGGGGTGGTGTGGTCGTCGGGGTGGTGTGATCATGCGGGTGGTGTGGTTGTCGGGGTGGTGTGGTCGTCGGGGTGGTGTGGTCGTCGGGGTGGTGTGGTCGTCGGGGTGATGTGGTCGTCGGGGTGGTGTGGTCGTTGGGGTGGTGTGGTCGTCGGGGTGATGTGGTCGTCGGGGTGATGTGGTCGTCGGGGTGGTGTGGTCGTTGGGGTGGTGTGGTCGTCGGGGTGGTGTGGTCGTCGGGGTGATGTGGTCGTCGGGGTGGTGTGGTCGTCGGGGTGGTGTGGTCGTCGGGGTGGTGTGGTCGTCGGGGTGGTGTGGTCGTCGGGGTGGTGTGGTCGTTGGGGTGGTGTGGTCGTGCGGGTGGTGTGGTCGTCGGGGTGGTGTGGTCGTTGGGGTGGTGTGGTCGTCGGGGTGGTGTGGTCGTTGGGGTGATGTGGTCGTGCGGGAAGTCGTCGTCGGTCCCAAAAGCTCCACCCAACTTTCGTGATCTTGACCTTGACCTGTGAGTGACCTCAAACCACCATACCTCTACCAAGAACTGAAAGTACCAAGAAAGATCGTACTGTCAATCCTCCGAATTGACAGTACGTTTTAATACTAAGTGTAATAAGTACATTTTCTTACTGTCATAAACAGTGCATAATTACACTGATGGGGCTGTTACATTTACCCCACTCCCTCCCCTGATTTAATTCTCCTCGTTTTCTGTTAAGACACACAGAATTTTAGAATGAAGTTTTCAATTTCAACTCCCCTGAAAAAAATAAAATATTGAGGAGAAGGTAGGAGAAGAAGAACAGGGGAACTATGGAAGAAGAAGAAGAAGAAGAAGAAGAAGAAGAAGAAGAGAGAGGATATAGAGAAGACGTACAGCAGTTTCCAGGAAGCGACGATCTCTTTCAAGACGCGGCCGAGGGAGAAATATTTCATGGGTGAGCTTACAGCGAGATTTGAGAAACGAGTTTTTTTGGGGGAGGTTCAGTAATCCTAAGATGTCACTTTGCTTGACTTCCGTGTCCTGTTGCGGGGGAGGCGGGTGCAGGTTATTGCAAGGGGAGTATATACTGGTATAGGGGTAGGCTGGGACATGGGTAGGCTGGGACATGGGTAGGCTGGGGTAGGCTGGGACATGGGTAGGATAGGGAAACGGACAGAAGATGACCGAGAAGGAAAAACAGTAGAACATAAGAGAATAATAACTGAAATTGAAATTGAAATAAGTTTATTGAGGTAAAATACACACAAAGGGATGAGGTAGCTATATAATAACAATATGGGCCAATAGGTCCTCTATTCCACTGGACCTATTGGCCCATACGAAGCAATTCCTGTTTATATTCACCCAAACACATTCGCATATATTTCCTACCTTCGCTGGAAACACTACATCGATTCCCACGTTTATTATGTTAATCGGTAATTTGGCTCCATAAATCAACAAGCCTGTTTCGAAAACCAGTATTTACCCAGGTCTTTCCTAAATCTAAACTTCACACATTTATATTCATTATTTCGTGTTCTATTTTTTATGAGAGAGAGAGAGAGAGGGGCGAGAGAGAAAAAATGAGATAGCGAGAATGAAAGAGATATTAAGAGATAGTGAAAGGGGGGTGAGGGAGAACCGAGAGCGGTGTAAATTTACCTTACTCCCCCTCCCCCCCCCCCCCAACCGTTCAAACATTCACACATAAATTAAACGCAAAGAAA